TTTATCATGGCTTTTCAGATCCAGTTTGGTCCGCTTCAGCTCGCCACCACTCTAGCCCTATTAGTATGCCAATCTGTTTCTACACTGACCTATGCCTCAAGAAGATGATCTAACCAAGACTCAAGTGGCCCGTTTACCTTCTTTTGCTTGGAGCATACCGAATATGGCTCGCTCCTTTGTCTGAATACCCAGGTCCACGACTTTATGCCGCCTCACGACTCCCGTGGTTGTACCATTTTGTACGGGGTGACCAACCCCATGTTCTGTGTAAGCTGCACGACATCTATGGGGAGGTTGTTCGAACAGCTCCCAACGAACTATCTTTCGTAACACCAGGAGCTCAAAGAGACATCCATTCGCACGCCAAAGCGCAGTACTTCCCCAAAGAAAGGAAACACTACCCCCAGAGAGACCGGATTGTTAGAGGGATCCTGACTGCAGATGAGGTTGACCACACACGGCATAGAAAAGCATGGAGTCCTGCGTTCTCTGAGCGAGCATTGCGGGAACAAGAGTCGCTATTCCAGATCTACATTGACGCACTAGCAGAATTGTTGCAAAAGAACTCTGTGGATGTGAAAGGTCAGGATGCTGTGGTGAACTTCGATCGGGTGATGAATTGGACAACGTTCGATATTGTTGGGCATCTGGTCTTCGGCGAGGCATTCGGATGTCTCCGTGACACGGCTTTTCACCCTTGGGTTGCTATGATCTTTGATAACCTCAAAGCCGCATCCTTTGTCCAGGCCATCAAGTTTTATCCATTCCTCGTTCCGCTACTGCAAATGATGATCCCCAAATCACTTCTAAGGAAGCGGCAAGAAAGCTATGATTTCGCAACGGCACAGGTTGCAAAGCGAATCGAGAATGGAAGCGATATGCCCGACTTCTTGTCATATGTGCTAGACCATAGAGGGAAAACCAGCCTTAGTCGTCTCGAGATTGAGATGGACTCCGCTATTATGATCACCGCTGGAAGCGAGACTGCCGCTACGGCTATGTCGGCGGTAATGTTTTACGCATGCCGCAACCCTGACGTCATGGCTCGTCTAATAAGTGAGATTCGTGGGACGTTCCAGCACGAGAAAGACATCACTGCCGTGGGGGTCGGTCAACTAAAGTTTCTCAATGCTTGCATCGAAGAAGCGCTCCGCCTGTTTCCTCCTGTACCAGCCGGTTTGCCTAGACGTCTGTCGAATTGCGATGGTATGATTATTGGTGGACGATGGGTTCCAAGCAATGTGAGTGGCTCTCCAGTACTTTGTAACGAATACTGACATCTAGTAGACCGTAGTCTCTGTCCCACAATATGCCGGATACCGGTGGCCGGCCAATTTTACAGACCCGAACTCCTTTCGGCCGGAACGATGGCTCGGCGATCCTCGATATAGTTCGGATTGTCGGGAGGTCTTCCAACCATTTGGTACGGGCCCAAGAAACTGCATTGGCAAGTCCCTAGGGTGAGTCGCTAGCTCATAAATACAAGTATTTCAAAGCTGACATTCCTGATAGCTACTTGGAGATGAGGTTGATTTTATCCCGGATCTTTTTCCAGTTCGATTTTGAAATGAAAAGCGCTGGTGATGAGTTTGCGCCAGAGAATCAGGAGGTCCATTATCTTTGGGACAAGATACCTCTTCTTGTTAAGGTCCACCTCAGGAATAAGCCATAGCCACCTACTCCTAAACCAATACTGACTTGCTCTTTGATGCGGCATCAACCATTTGGCAACAGAAAGAATTGTGCTTTGAAATATAAGTAGCCAGCCTTCAAATACAAAAACTGAGAGTTTCGCTGTGGCATATGGGCTAGGCTTGTGAAGCCTGTTGAGATAGGTGTTGGCGATGTTTATTGCCTCATCTCACAAATAACCTACGAATAGGAGCGATCAACATGCTAAATGGGCATGAGCTTAAAGCTAATCAAGTTGTCATGTTTTTGGCCGACCTTTCTAGTTTCGGGGTAATTGGTGGAGCTCCACGACCATAGCTGCGACAATTCACCAAAACTAGTTCCTTGGCAAGGCGAACTCCAGATCTCCCCCTTCAGCCGCACAAATCTTCTCTTTTCCTCTCCAAATGTTCCAACGTCCTGAAGAAAGACTCACACAAAGATGTCGTATCACCTGCATTCTGATCAAGGAACTACAGGAGCACCGATTCCAGGGCGTCGTGCCCCTTCTAGCACACCTGGAGGTGATTACGGGGCTCCTCCGCCAATCCCGCCTCGGCCGGCCGGCTTCGGCTACCAACCTCTCCCGGCTGAGGATCGGGCATCAGCCGCACATCTGAATCATGACCGGACTCATTCGAGTAGCAATCCAACGACTGGATCTCAAACTCCCTATTCAGACTACTCCTCGTTAAATCTGCAGTCGCCTGCATTTACTGAAGGCACCAGCTCTGATCACAATGATCCACAACGTCCATCCGGTGAACGAAAGGAGTCGGCAGGCGAAACTGAGTCTTCGATCAATAGTTTAGATATGATCAATGAGATGTTGAATGGAATGTCGGTCTCCGCTCAGTCTCATGACATCTCGGTCAGCCACGAATCTTACACAAGCACCTATGAGGCGTCTACGATTGCAGAGGAACCAACATATTCGTCGCAGCCCACAGCATCTCACTACGACAACCCACAAATATCCCGCGCTTCTATAGAGATAAAATCTAGTACAGCTTCAATGCCTCAACCTACAGCTGCTGATAAACCGGGCCCCCCGTCGCCTCCTCGCGAAAAAGACGCCAACAAAGTCCACGACCAACCCACAAAGGAGAACACTAAGCCATCTCCAAAGTTATCGTTCAGTGATAAGGAATTTATCTCATCATCAAGGCCTTCACCTCCTGCCCTAAGACTGCAACCCGTCACCGAATGCATCGGCGTCCCAGTCGGGTTCGCCACGACATGGTATACCCATTCCGTTACTCCAGAATACAACATTTGCTCCTACTGTTATGAGGAGAACATCCGCCACACCATCTTCGAGAATGCCTTCAAAGGGTCTTACCTAGACGATGGCAAAATCAAAGTGTGTCGGTTTAGCAGAGCCCGAATGAAAGACTGCCTATTCAAGGAAGCATTAGCTAAGGGCTCATTAGCTGAAGTGATAAACTTCATGAGCTTACGAGCCAAGATACCCGAATGCGCTGGAATCAGTGGGGTCAAGGGGCCAAATCCTAGTGGACATTGGTTTCGTGTCAAAAACAACCAGATCCCGCCAATGGTCGTTTGCAAGGCTTGCTACGAAGACTATATCCTTGCACAGCACTTCGCCGTTAATTTTGAGCCAGCTCCTGAGCAGCCACCCGACAATGAATGGGCTTGCGACATGGCCTTGGCTTTCATCCACGACGAATATAAGAGATGCTCGGTGGCGAACGATTGGTCGAGATTCGTAAGCGGTGCAAATACTCGTATGGGACTTCCGAAGTGTCCAGGGACCAAGGATATCTATCCAGATGGAGGTGGAAAGCAGTGGTTTGAACCTATCAATGGACCCCGCGGCTTCCTCGTATGCTCAGCGTGCTATTGTGACTGCGTGCATTATACGAGCGAGCAGACCAAGTGGCGAGATGCTGGATCGAATATCGTTGCAACCTATGGTGTGTCGATCAAGTGCTGTTTTGGGAGTTTCAACATGGCCATGGCTACCAACCGTACATTGCGAGAGACTCTCGACTATAATCTGTTCTGGACTGCGGTCAATACACTGGCCACCGAGCCACAATGTAAATCAGAAGGAACCACGAACGCGACATGGTACACTCTCAAGACGGACCCGGACCACTATGCCATTTGTCGAGCATGCTACGTCATGATTGTCGAGACTTGGGGTATTAGCGACTATTTCATGCCCAAGCCTAGTATACCGAAGACTGCAAAGTTGATCTGTTGTCTAAACCATGGCATACCGCGATTTCCATTCTATGTCGCCAAGACTCTGGAACTCATGCTCACACGCGATCCCGCACCTCTTACCAGCTTTGCAATTGAATACGGTGCCATTCCGCTTTGCAAGCAAGACAGCGATTTCAAGAACGGCGTGTGGTATGGTTGGCCTGCGTGCACCATCTGCCCGGAATGCCATCACTTCTTCATCCGCGGCACGGCTCTGGCAGATAGCATGCCGATACAAAGTCAGCGATTAGACTCGTGGCGCATGTGCGAGATGTACAGCCCGCGTATGCGCAAGATGTATCTCGAGGCGTGTGCTTCGGACCCACCAGATCCGACAGATTTGCTTACCTTCTCGCTTCAGCGACGGAACGTCTATGCCAACACGATGCCAAGAGTGAGGGAGATGATCAGTGCGCAGAAAATTAAGTTTCTACAACAGCAGAATGTTAGTAACCAAAGCCTATTTTATAGCAGCTTAGGACGCACGTACGCAAACACAGTGGGGTACACGCATACGTACGGTCAAGCCGGCGTTGGATACGGTTTCCGCAATGAGTGGGAGCTTGATGGTGCAAGATTAGGACAGCAGGCCGCTGCGATGGGCGACGAGCTTAGGAATACCAGTTGGACTCTGTCAGCTGGAGAGTTGGAACGGCGATGGAGACAGGTTGAGTAAGCATGCAGCATATCGTGTATATTGTGAAGTACAGAAGGAGATGAATACAAGTTATCTCAACGCAACCAACAGTCAGATAGGAAAAAAAAAAGCAACTGCCCATTTTATGGTATCATTCGCATTCTGTAAAAACCATTCGCCGTTATCCTCGCACATTTAAATATTATCACATTACTCGTATTGCCGCGCAACCAGTCATTCTCGCATGGCCTTGGTGCTACCTTTGATGGGAGACGGCCGAACCTTCAGTAAGAGTGTTCCTGAATCTGTTCGTATGATTAATCATTAAACTCTGGACGTTCTGGTAGTTCGAGTTTCAGCGACTCCACGATAGCCGAGATGCCAGTCATAGACAACATTGAATAGAAGACCGAAGCTAGAAGCGTCAGTGCTGTTCCGATCAAGGACGATGAAGGTATGCTCACAATGCAATGAAAGAGAAAGCTTCGACGGTGTATGCCTGATCGCTGTGACTGTGGCTGAAATCACTAGCAGTGAAAGCAACTGCGACGAGCCAGAGATAGGAGAAGATAAGGTTGAATATCAAGATGTAGCCGGGATATGCGCCGAGGAAGAAGGCCCCGAGGAAGAACGCGACGGTCAGGACAGCCTGGAAATATGTTAGTCATGATCCGATACATGCTAAGGCAGGGATTGGGGTTGCTGGCATACAATCACTTCTTCGTAAATGATATGGTCGCCTTGGTGGTTGTTTACTGAGATCCAGTAGGACAAAATTCCCATCACAATAACAGCAGATATCCAGACAAGGATGTTGCTAACAAGCATCAAGGGCGATAGCCCGACGTACGAGTGTCTGGTCACAGGCATGTTGAGGGAGATTGAAGGACAGTCGATGTATATTACTTCCGATTGGCTGTTCGTCGGTTGTTGAAAAATAAAGCTACAGAGCGCAATTACGGACAGAGCATGGCATTCGGTAGGTCTTAAATAATCGTCTCTGGCAGGGTACGTCGCCAAGCCAAGAGGGCTCTAGATCAATCTGCATCATATCGGTGAGTGCCCATGGGGAAGTGACACACATACACGTCAACATTTTGGGCACAGCTTAACAAATGTTGTTAAGCATTGGAGATCACACAAGCCAGCCAATATGCTGCGCTGCCGGCCTGCGCGTGATGCCGGCAGCTGTTTCGCACCAGCCAGCTAGTGTCATGGCACTTGGAGCCGCTGACGGCATGTCCAATTGCCTCTGCCGATTCTCAATGCACCGCAGATCCAGTGTTCCAAGGTTGTGTTGACGATTTGGCTATGCGGCGAATGGCAATCCCTTCAAATACGTCATTCTGCAGGGGTGAGACACGCTGGAACTTGTCTTTCGATTGGCGCGCCCCGACACCAGCATCAATCATAGCAGAATCGGGAGTGTCCAGTGAGCCCAACGCAGCCGGCTTCCGACCTGTCAAAGCGGCGCCACCATCATCGGGATATGCACGCCAACACATTCGTTGAAGAGGCTGGCGGGATTAAGGCTGCTTGCTTTTCGTTTAAGTGTCTCTTGAGAAGCCTGTGCGACACACATGGATGTATGCTTCGGGAAAAGGGGGAGAGGTGACACTTGCCAAGCTCGCGCAGCCCATTTCACCAGTGAAGGTTGCAATTCTGACTCTAGTAAACCCGTTTTGCAGTAATCAATGCAAAGTATGAAGACGGAGAACAATGCTTAAATCTAATCTTGGAATTTTTGGGTACTGTACCGCAAAACCCGGTGGACTGCCAACGTTCAGTTTTGCTGAATAAATCGAGATCTTCAACAGTGGGACTTCATAATGGAAAATGTTAGCGCGCTTGAAGCGCGAATTTCGATCGGTAATTAGCAAACCCCACCACGTGGGCAATAGAACACTGTTAGAAGACTTGAGGTTCTCATAGTGTGAAAAGGAGGGAAAAGAGCTTGGATGCTAAATCAGGCAAAGGAAGGGCCCCGGGTTGCGTGAATGGAGCACATTATTGCGAGATGCTGTCTTGCTTGATTCACCGAGCAGAGACAATCAAGCCGGTGTCTGTCTCGTTACCTTCCGTGAGAGGCTCTTCTCTTCGCTTCGCTTCACTTCACTTCACTTCAGCCACTTGAAGTCGAGAATTTGCGGCCCCGTTCAACGTGGCTCAGCAATAATCTGCCCCTCGATGTGGCTGACCTGTGAATCTCTTCTTCATCTGTCTAACTGGCAGGCTACTCGCGTAGCGCCATCGACCGCTTGGTTTCATCAAATCTTTGCCGATAACATCCATCCAATGGCAACGCTGACATTATCTCCGTCATGTCTCCTCAACGCGTGGAAGACCCACTAGTGACTTCGCTAAGCGGGGCGTGTAATTATCCCCTTATTGAGCCCCTGTATTTTCTGAACTCCCGAAAAAATGAACGACCTCTTCGCTCTCCTCCTTTGCAATCACGTCGACTCTTCATCCTCATCGATAGCGAGCGAGCAACCGCGTGATCGCATCTGAAGAGAAGCAATGGCCGTAACAACTGAACAGGATGAGCGCAAGCTCGAGGCTGGTGGTGTTGCTACGCCTCCCCCGCCGCCTCCCAGCAACGGCATTCATCCAGCACTCTACATCGCGTATGGACCGCCCGCCGGTACTTGACATCTTTGGTTCCGAGATCTAACGCGACTCTAGGCTATGGATTGCCGTAAGCTCGGGTGTCATCCTGTTCAACAAGTGGATTCTCGCGACCGCAAAGTTCGACTTTCGTAAGTGACTTGATGGGATCCAGTGTCCGCATGATGCCAATCTAACACGCTGTAGCGCTGTTCCTGACGACATGGCACATGGTCTTCGCGACCGCCATGACCCAGATCCTGGCGCGTGTCACCACCACTCTTGACTCGCGTCACAATGTTCCTATGGACGGGAAGACTTACTTGTGAGTGAAGGCGTCGCACCGCTTGGGGATTTCGAGCTGATAGGAGAACAGGAGGGCTATCGTGCCAATTGGTGTCATGTTCAGCTTCAGTCTCATCTGTGGAAACTTGGCTTACCTCTACTTGAGCGTGTCCTTCATTCAGATGCTCAAGGTGAATACATAGCCAATCGGTTGCAAAAGCACCTGACTAATTATTCATAGGCTACTAACGCCGTTGCAACTCTGATTGCTACCTGGGCCTTCGGAATGGCGGCTCCTAGCATGAAGGTCCTCGCCAATGTGTCCCTTATCGTGATTGGTGTTGCCATCGCTTCTTTCGGAGAGCTGAAGTTTGAGCTCTTTGGATTCCTAAGTATGTTCTGACTCTGAGGCTCCGTTAGCAACAGGCATCTGACCGTCTTTCACAGTTCAAATCACTGGTATTGTGGCCGAAGCCTTGCGTTTGGTTATGGTTCAGCGCCTACTGAGCTCAGCCGAGTTCAAGATGGACCCCCTCGTGTCCGTCTACTACTACGCTCCTGCTTGCGCCGTCATCAACGGTTTCTTTACCCTGTTGATCGAGGCCCCTCGCATGGGTCTGTCTGACATTTTGGCCGTTGGTGTTTTCACGCTCATCGCCAACGCGTTCGTCGCATTCCTGCTCAACGTGTCTGTTGTGCTGCTGGTATGTTCTTCCCCTGATCGTTGAGGTTCCCCTAAATCTAACAACTTGTAGATTGGCAAGACGTCGGCTGTTGTTTTGACCATGTCGGGTGTCCTGAAGGATATCCTACTTGTCGTTGCCTCTATGGTCATTTTCGGCGACCCGGTCACCGGCCAGCAGTACTTCGGATACGGCATCGCTTTGGGAGGCCTTGTCTACTACAAGCTCGGCGCGGAGAAGATCCAAGCCCTGACCACGGATGCCCGCCTCCAAATCGCCGAGGCCCGGCGAAACCACCCAGCTCGAGTCAAGATGGTGGTGGCATGCGTACTACTTGGACTTGTCACACTTGTCATTCTCGGTGGATGGCGAAACCTCCCAGATACGACATTGGCTACGCCGACGGCCTAGGCAACATTAATGTAATGAGGGTGCTAATGAGGAGAATCTTAGATCCAGCGCGATCTCTGTATTATGAGTAATAACTTCACTTTGTGTATATGGTTTTCTAAATATTTCTTTGTATGATAATACTATAGAATATAGACGGCGCATGAGTAGCGTGGCATGGTATTGTTAGCCGTGCTTGAATAAATAGAAAAGATTTGGAAGTTGAACACGAGTTTTGATGCAAATCTTGTGGTTGGACGGACACCTGTAAAGGTTGGGTAGTGCACCCATGCCACGAAATTTGTAGTAGGATAGTACACTTTAGACTTTTGTGTAACAATTGTTCCCAGAAAATTGCTTTCTTTTGCGTACTTTCCTGTCCATTCGAGCATTAATAATGAGCCCTGCACGGCACTTGAACCCCCCCACGTGTCGGGTCTTACGTGAAGCTCAATTTATATCATACGGGACAAGGTCCACACATGCATGGCACTGTCCGTGCAACGATGACGCCTTCTGCCATAATCATCTCAGTTTGTTTCATCCCCAACAAAGACGCGCCACATTAGAGCGTTGTGTGAGAAGAAACTCCACAGTGAGTAGACCTGATAATTTCCTCTGTACGATGCAGGGTGTCTGTGGGGTTGAGCGCCTGTTTCAAGTCACGATTAGTATATATGCCGGGCGCCGGCACCGCTCTCGGAGTCCATTCCGCGCTTCTCGGAACTTCCCATCCCCCCTATGCCCACGCATGCATCAGCATGGCGCGTAGATCAGCACTAGCCCAAGAAACTTGTTGATTTCACAATACTGCCGGCTACCTTAATTTCCTGGTAAGATGTATGATTGGTGCGGGAGCTCCATGTAAAAAGACATGCCTGGGTCGTGTGAAGCCCCTGAAGCCATCCCACGGAAGGATCTACTTTGCAGTCGATCATGTACGAGGCCAGACCATCTACTATAATTGTCGCGATATATGTTGCGAGCGCTCGTCGTTGATGGTTTCTATGGCTTTTATTCTGTAGTGTTTTCCTTCCTTGAAGATTCAGTCGTTCTTTATCGCTCATTCGTTTCAAAATGGCGCTCTCTTGCGTTCTGTCATTCCTTACTCTTTTGTCTGTAGCTTTTGCTTTTACTCATCCTGGGCTTCTTGTGACGGATCAGGACCTCAGCCGTGCGAAACAGAAAATCGGCAACCAACAGGACCCTTGGCTGAGTTCCTGGAACAAGCTGACAAGCCTCAAATATTCTAGCGCTGACTATGTCAATAACGCCGTTACTACCGTCTCTCGAATAAACCTCGACTCGGATGTCGCCAATGCAGATCTTCTATGGCACGATGCAGCAGCAGCCTTCAACCTGGCCATTCGCTGGAAGATCTCTGGGAATGACTCGTACGCAGCAGCCGCTGCAGCCATCTTGTCAGCTTGGATAGAAAAGTTAGAAAGACTGGGCGGCGGAGACGAGGCATATCTACTGGCTGGTCTACAAGGCTATGAGATGGCCAACGCCGGTGAACTCTTGCGTGACTACGCCCCATTCGCTCAGGATGGCTTGTCCACCTTCACTACGATGATGACAACCGTCTTTTTGCCGATGAACGTGGATTTTCTTAACCATGTCCTGGGTTCCGAACATAATGTGAAACACTTCTTTGCCAATTGGGAACTTGCCAATGTTGCTTCAGCTATGGCTATTGCAGTCCTCGCGGATAATCAGACGGCTTGGAACTTTGCAATTGACTACTTCAAGAACGGGAGTGGCAATGGTGCGATCAACAACGCGGTAACCAATATCGTAGACGAGCCAGACACCGGTCGACCATTAGGACAGGGGCAAGAGTCTGGTCGTGATCAGGGCCATTCAGCCCTAGACTTTCAACTGCTTGGCGCTATAGGCCAACAAGCCTGGAACCAAGGCGAGGATCTCTTTGCGTACAACCAAAGCCGACTTCTTCTCGGGTATGTCTCATCTAATTTGGAACACATTGCGTATTTCTAACATGCTATACAGAGCAGAATATTTTGCCCGCTACAATTTGGGGCATGACGTCCCGTTCGAGCCTTACACAAATGGTATCGTCAGCTATACGGACATCAGCTCTGCCTCTCGTGGCGCCATCCGGCCAACATGGGAGTTATTATACAACCACTATGTTAAGGTTAAAGGCCTCGAGGCACCGTGGACGACAGCATACCTCAACAATTCTTTGGAGTACTTTGGCGGCTACGAAGGCGGAGCCGGGTCGTGGGGTGAAGGTTCTGGTCATTATGACGGCCTTGGCTGGGGCTCGTTGCTTTACCATCTGGACGATTCTGATCTTGCAGCATCGACGTCCTCTCTCCCTACCTCCACAGTTGCCTCGATCCAGCAGACATTGTCTCTGACACTCTCAACAGTTTCAACTTCAGTCATCACAACGTCGGTTAGCATCAGTTCTTCGCCTAGTGGTACAACTAGCCCAGACGTCTCCAGCCACTCTCTTGTAGTCACATCGCTACCGAGCATCACAACTCTAGTCAGAGTCGTTTCAACATCAATCTCTTCCATTTCAAAGGTTGTTTCAAGTGTAGCGAAGGAAACTAATGGGCCTTCATGTGGCGCTGTTAGACCACATGGCAACCATGGCCATCACCACGGTTGATGACAAGCTTTCACATACTTTGAGGCAGGCAGTTTCAACCAATATTTTCCTTCGCGCTCATACAATCTTGCGCTTTTAGTTGTGTTTGATCACACAACTCGCCATTATCTGGTAAGTTCAAACTTGGACAACATATCCAAGTCGCAATGCTTCCAGAAGATTTTACTTCACATTATTTCATTTCATCTTCGAACTTCGGGACGATTCTCCAGCTGTATTATTATTCTATCTTTCAAAAGTACTAATGGGCTGGTGTCCATCTAAAATTCAAGCGGTTTTGTCGCAAGCTGGTCGTGATCAACGAGATATAATATACAATCGCATTCGTAACACATTGAATGTCTTCTACTAGGTTGACTTTTAACTCGAGAACTAAACAAGGCTCGATGCAGAATGAAATGACTAGGCAAAGGAGAAGGTGTTGAGATATGGCTCTTGCAATATCCGCTCTGTGAAGTTCTAGTACAAGCTATGATTGGCGGAGTGGTAGTAATCTGGAAGATTTCCCAGACCGGTAGTACCAGATGTGGGTTCTTCCGAGCTTCTTGGCTCCTCGTTTCAGCGTAGAATATATTGGCGGAGGAAAGACCACTGTGGGGTACTGGCCTTGGTTGTCTTTTGTTGCAACTACAATTGCATCTCCCCACAGGGGGATGGCTTCGAATTCCGCCAATCAGCAAGTTGCACCGATCCAGCTTTGTTACCACAACTACACATCCGCAGATCACTTTCGGCCTTCGTGCCATCTTTACACGAAGTCATATTAATATCTCGAGACATCCCTTGCTATGGAATGATGGCTTATTTCATCTTGTCCTTCGCAGACTTCTAGGCACCTAAAGTTCTATAGAAAATGAAGCTTGCAATCTCTGCTCTTCTTGGACTCGCGACATCCGCCAAGGCTCTTCTTGCATTTCCTGGTGCCGAAGGCTTTGGACGGAATGCAGTTGGTGGGCGAACCGGTTCTGTCTATCATGTTACAACTTTAGCGTAGGGCACTGGAACTTTTGGAAAGGATTACAACTTGAACAAAGAAGCTAACTATCGTTCAGCGATTCGGGTACCGGGTCTCTTAGAGATGCAGTCTCTCAAGCTAATCGCATTGTTGTCTTCGACATTGGTGGAATAATTAACATCAGCGATCGTATTGTGGTTTCCAAAAATGTTTACATAGCTGGCCAGACAGCACCTGGCGGGGTGAGCCAGTTGGAGAATCCAGCCCCAGACCGAATTCTTACATCATTTAGGGTATCACGGTTTATGGAAATGGCTTCTCATGGTCAAATGCTAACAATGCCATTGTTCGATATATTCGTATCCGCATGGGTAAAGGTGGGGACTCTGGTAAGGATGGAGTCACCATTGCAGATGGAAGCAATATGATATTCGACCATGTTAGTGTCTCCTGGGGCAGGGATGAGACGTTCTCCATCAATGGAGATGTATACAATGTGACCATACAGAACTCTATCATTGCCCAGGGTCTGGAGACACACTCGTGCGGAGGTTTAATGCAATCGGACTACGGAATTAGTCTGTTCAGAAATTTCTACATTGACAACAAAACCAGAAACCCTAAGGTTAAAGGCATGAACGACTTTCAGAACAATGTGAGATCCGATATCCAGTCCGAAAAATGAGCTGCTAATATGGCTTCAGGTCATATACAATTGGGGCGGAGGTGGCGGCTATATCGCAGGAGACAGCGACGGGCAAAGCTACGCAAATATCATTAACAACTATTTCATATCCGGCCCGAGCACTTCTGTGACTGCTTTCACCAGGGGCAATGCAAATTTCCATGGATGTGAGTATTCCTGAGTTTTTGGCTATTCAACTATTGACACCATATTAAGATGTATCAAACAACTTTTATGACAGCGATCGGGACGGAGTTCTCGATGGGACGGCTCTCTGTGTCAAGACCACTTGCTATAGCGACATGGACATCCTGACGACTCCTTACGCATACCCCGGCCCATCCACACTATTGTCCCCCGAGGCTGCCGTCAGTTATGCTATCAGTAAGGCCGGAAGCTGGTTTCCGGCTCGTGACCAGGTAGATAACAGATTGGTGCAAGAACTCCAGAGTTATGGTACCGTCGGTGAGCTTATCAGCGACGAGACTGCGAGTCCAATGAACGGCGTTGGCACGGTGGCCAGTGGTACCAAGCCTCAAGATACAGACGGCGACGGTATCCCAGATGCGTGGGAGAAGGCGAATGGGCTGAACTACCAGGACGCGAGTGACGCGATGAAGATCAGTAGCTCGGGGTATGCAAATATCGAGCTGTATGTGAATTCGCTGGTGCCCTCCACTTATCCCTGATTAGGGAGACGAGCCAGAGCTTGCGGTTGGGCTATCATTTATCTGCTTTATAATTCAACAGTCAAACTTGATCGTCAGCCCTGCCGGGCTTGCTAGACCCAAGTATCTTCCTCTTAATCCATAATATTGCCTGTCTTGGTATTTCATATACCATAACAAGAAATAGTATAGGTATTTCGAGTAGAACCTGACATAAACTCGTTCCACGTTCCCCCGGTGTGCCGTTGGACTTGTTCCGGTGTCGGCTCTGCCACACAGCTTTTGGCAAGTCGTAGAATATACTTCGTGGTATGACATAGATAAACATTACTATGATAGCAAGAGGAACGAGAATGGCGTTGTTCATTTTCTTCGCTTCTTTAGGTGCCTCGCGCTGGCTAGGCCCAGCTAGGTAGGCGACGATGCCGCGATGCCCATTTTCATCCGCAAGTTGTCGCGCAAGCGCACCGTCGGGTGCCATCCACGAGTCATTGGCTCGATACTCCTCCACAAGAATCTTGACAAGGTCTAGATTTCCAAGCATGCAAGCTAATTGTAATGGAGTCCGGTTTGCCTGGCCGCTTGCAGACGGAGAACGCCCCGGAAGATCGACGGACGCACCCAGCGCAACCAGGTCACGCACGATAGGGATACTTCCGGCTCTGACAGCGGCGAGAAGTGCTGTCTCACCATTTGGCGAATGGGCATTGGGAGACACAAGACCACCCGAAATGAGATCTGTTATGGAGTTCTTATCCTCCAGGCTGGCGGCGGTGATGAGTGCAGAGATCAGATCCAACTCCAGCTGGTGGACTTCGCGCGCTGTAGCGTCTGCATCGTCTGAAACTACTGTGACTTCTGTCACGGGTAATTTAAGGCTCCCAGGCGCTATTTTGTGGAGTTGCTCAACCCGTGTTTGGTGGCTGTTAGAGTTGACGGCAGTAGGCATCGCAGGCCCAGTCTGCGAATCATCCATGTTTTCCCAAAGTATCGAGATTTGACGTGTCGATGCTCTCGGGCGGATTTCTGCTACTGATTGAAGCGTTATGTTTGTTGGCCGAGACCGCGCGGCTGACAAGCCCCTATTAAAAGCCCGTGGCGCTGTCAAGCTATCTAAAATACTACTAACCAACTCAACTGGTCTCGCCTTGGCAGAGGCTTCGCTTCCTTAGTAGCTTGGCAACCTCGCCTAAAGCGTCAAGGTGATTCTCTTTTCGGCAAAAGTAAACGACATCATTTTGAGGCCTCGCGGCTACATTATTATAATAAATACCGAGGGGTAATGTTCAGCTGTGACAGAGTGCTTAGTGTTCGCGAATCGCGCTCGCCAGCCATCTTCCGTTTACACCGTTGCACCTATCCAACTCACATGCAACTCGCCAACTCTTTATTTGTAGAAGCGCCAAAGGTTGAGGAATAGATCAATTGCAACCTCAGTAACACTATGCTATCAAAAAATTGCCTTGTGAGGCTGCTTGCGCTGCTTATTGTTATGTAAACCCGAGAAGATCCTTTCTTGATGGTTTGCATGAACAGATATATTATGTTGTCCTATAACTATAGATGATAAAGGGTATCAGGCCTGCGACAAGTCAAACTTGGATGACATCTGAGTTGCTAGTATGCCTCAGTGCTATCATCACTCTCATTTGTAAGCATGGCAGGCACTCGGTGGGATAGTTAAGCCCCGTCTCGTATCCGATCAGTGCGCAATGATAGACTCAACCGATTTTGGTTCAAGTAAAGCATTTACAATTAGAATGAATCTTACGATGTCCTTCAAGTGAGAGATTTCGAAATGGCGGCGCGAGTGACGCTTCTAATAAAAAAACTGAACAGCCTATCATACGAGGCGTTTGACAAATAGTCAGCAATTCTCTTTTACAAGCAGGTCGTGGCCCTTGTGCTAGCTTTGTCTCCGGGCTGACGTCTGATCATCTTAGCTGGGAGGAACCGCATGCAGACTTTTTCTTGAATGTGTCAATCGTGAAAGAGAGGGTCCTTAAATTCGCACAAGTAAGTCGCTCAAGACTCTGCTTCTCGGGGAATTCTGCGGGATATGCCTGAAAGCTTACAAACAATGGTTCCTTAAAGTTTCATACCGATAGGAATCTTTCTGATACGTTAGGCTCCCTTGGCTTCCCAATTTCTGAGTATGATGGTGGAGTGAATATTTGGGTTACCTCGGTGGAAGATATGATGGCGGTGAGATAGGCTTTATCTAAGTATTTGGGAGTCATGTACTAATACTAAAAGATCACACCAGCGGGTTGTTGTGCCAGACGGAAAGGTGTTCTCCAAAACGGGAGGAGTCTAAGATCATGATTGGCTATGACAAATATGTCATCCCCGACTACAAGCGAGTCTGATATCCAGACAGTTGGCTTGGGCCACGACATACTAATATGAAACAAAATAAATAGTTTGCTAACATTCATTCAGACATACCTAGACAAAGAGACCATGAGTGACCCATGCTCATCAACCCTGAACATGTAATCTTTAAAATTCTTCAAAGGGGTAAAATCAATCCTCCAACTCATTTGGGGTGGGGGAAGAAAAAGAAAGCCTCCTTCAACGAGAATTTAGTTTAGAGGAGATATCTATCATGGGAACGATCAAGGGCTTCTCGATTGCACAACTTGTATCTTTTCCTGTTGATTGACACTGAAGTGCTAGTTTGGAGCTGCCGATTGCCTCAAAGATGTTGCTTAGAAGTTTAGCTTTTGCAAAGCTCAGGAATGATCATCAAATAGTAGAACTCACGTATGCCCGTTATCAATCCCATCACACGTCCAGCGTTGACTCAGGGTCAGTTCGGAGGTTTTGTTGTCAAATTTGAAGCCCAAAGTGAAAGGCTCAAAGCTCATCATACACATCAACTGTGTCGTACCATCAAACTCATGGGAGCTCTCGTCGGTCAAATAAAGGCATTGGCGCCATCCAGTATTCCTGGGCCAATCGTTGTCGGTAGCTGTATTATTATAATAGAACTCAAGGATATTAGTGTAACTAGCTGTGGAATTGACCGTCGGGTTGCTAGAAACGTAAGTTCTATTATAGTTGAATGAGGTGATATCCCAAGCATAGGTGCCTGCTGGCTCAAAAGATTTAGAACTGCAGTTATAGCCGTGCGGCTTGAAATCTTCGATTGCCTTCTCTTTTGATACATGGAATGAGTCCGTTTGTGTAGGCACGATAGTCAAATCATCGGCATTGCACAGGTCGTTCACAATTTTCTGAGGTCTGCTGTCATAATCATACTCGCTAGCCGGCAGACAGTATCTTGTCTCGTTGCACTTGAGTGGAAAGTGTGCTTCGCCATAAGTTGAATACACCATGCTTGAATTGACCATATTAGCAGGGCAGGTTTCATTTAGGCCGTGAGTTGGCTGAGATTAGACTTACGCTTCGGTATTGTTATCATCATTGCAATACCAAGTCTGGTTCACACCAAGGACATTCTTGCTCCCACCGTACAGAAGATTAGTGTAAACTCCATTTGCTGGATAATTGACGTGCATAGGGTCAAATCTGGTACAGTTCCACCAAGAAGCATTTTGTAGACCTTGCTCCGATAGCTGGGCTGCCCCCCCTAAATTGCATCGCTGCGTGTAATTCAACGCATTATTCTTCAAGATGAAGGAAACGGCGCCAGCTGACCAGTAGAAATTGGATATTCCAAAGGACGGACTCCGAGAGAGCTCGTTGCAATCAGGAGTGCTAGGGACCACGCCTGGCATCGGATAAAAAGTAGGACCGAATGGATTATCAGCTGGATCGGCCCCATTCATGTACGGATCGCTATCTGGCTCATCAACTGAGTCCCCGTCGGTACTATTGCTTGCAGTGGCTATGGAAACGTTGGTTGCCTTTACCGTTGTGCTAACAGGAACACAGGAGACTTGATCTGGACGACCTCCGGGGACCTGAGTGCATGATAGTTCCGAAATTATGGCAGTCCCACTTCCTGAATAATTTGTACTAGTTTTGTATTAGTGTACATTCAGAGGATAGTGATTATGACTTACACTGCTGTCTGCAACTCCATTTTTGAATGACACTGAGCGCCTTGGCCCCTATGTCAAAGTGGAATGACGTGCTAAGCGGGGGGTCACTTTCATCTGCTATATCTCTTGCCCCTTTGCAATATACATTGCAGCTGTACCACACCTTTCCAGTGACTACTTGGCGATTTGGAACACGTCCAGTTGATCCATCCCCCTGCAAGCAGTCGAATGTGTAATCATTCGCTGTATTGCGGATAGAGAAAGCAGCCTTTCCAACGGTTCCAGCGCCAAAGTCATACTCGGTGTTGGTATCAACGGTAAAGTTTTGGATAATCCAGCTGACAGATGTGGATGCAGCATCGGTGCAGTTGGTGCTCGCTGGAGGGAAAGTGTCAGAGCTGTGAACTGCCAATGGTAGCCACAAGACAGTGCCTATTCTGGCCAGCCTTGTCATAGTTACCCTCGTACGACTGCTCAAGCCGAGCAGAATGTCAGGTCCCTTTGCAACTCTCCTTCACCAAGCATTTCTCATGAGAGGGTGCGAGAATTATAAGTATTGTTGGGGAAACCACACCATAGTATGCTAATTGATTACTTAGTATTAGCCGGGACGCATGTATGTTAACTTACCGATACGCGCCGCGGGTATTTAGGAGCAAAAGCCTAGCATGATGAGCTTTGTTGCCCGCAACTCAACTGCCGAGACGTTATCGTCGCGACTAAGGACACACCTTCTTCCGAGAAAGCCTCCCTTTTTTCATTGTAGCTCCGATAATTGTCATTATCAACCGTGCCAACGATATGAGCCGCTATACTACAAAAGGATTGATCAATAGTAAAGCACGAGAGTTCGAGAACATTGTCTACATAATACATCTCACTTTTCAAGGATCGAATCGATAGCTATTTGGGGCTTGACCGATGTTTCAAGCTTACTCATTTTTAAAATCTTCCGGGCAGCTTTTTCCCCTCCAGACGATGGGCCTGGATGTCGGATACGCATTTAGGATT